TTAATCATGTTATCGGTTATATTTGCATCAAGTCGTGTTTCATTAAATGCAATCAGATCAATGAATTTTTTGGTCATTGAAAAATTAATTTCATCTATATTTTTTGGTAGACTCACTATATTCAGATGATGCATGTAAACCTTCATATAATGACTCTGGGGCACACTTGCGCAAAGTTTTCGGGTCACTAAATGGACAAAAAATTATTATAACACAAGTGTCACTCAAAAATCCACAGTCTGTCTCAGTTATTGCCTTTCCAAACTGTGGTTATGCATCACTAACTCGATAGAGCAAAGCAAACTATAAACCCGCAATAAAACCATCATTTTTACTATAAATTTATCCGAATTCATATTTTCCGGATGTTTTTAGCCATCAGGTTTTTTGTGGTTTTAGCGTATTTTGTTAACCTAACTAGTTTAAACAACTGGTTTAAACTGAACGTGAGCGCCTTATTAAAACACCCTGAGTTTGGAAACTTTTGCTCTAGTGTACATTTAGTCTAAAAATGTGTATATATGCTACACCACTATCAGTTCCTGAACAACATTCGAAAAGTCATCGAAAACTTTGCAATAATAAATTCGATGGTGTTCTGCAAACCTAAACCGTAACCGTGCAAACCATGTTCAATATGGTCATATTTTTCTGATCCTTATAAAATTAGTAATTATAAGGATTATATAAATGCCTTTACAGTAAATCCGGAGCGTCGTCCAGGAGGAAGCAAATGGGCTCAAGCACAGGCTCAAGTGATTACCGGCGATTAGCACCTGGGAAAATGACCCGCTTCTTTTCTAATTAGCCTTTTCCCAAAGGAGACCACGGTGCATACTGGGATCGTTTGGAAAGACAAAATATATATGGTGACAGGCGTTAGATATGTGGAAGAGTAGAAGTATCTACTATCAAATATCAACTTTTTAGACGACCAAAAACTGAAATATCTCCTTTTTAAATGTGTGCTGCCATATTTCTTGTCCCTCCAACATGGGATTCGCGCGACTAGACCCATGACTTTGGGGAATGGATAATTACCGGCTCCTTTTACCCGCTCATTTTTTAATTACCCGCCCCTTTTAAACGCGACCCGTTCTTTTTACCTGCGACCCGTTACCCGCTCCAAATAGATACTCCCATAAACAAATGTATAATGCGCGTCGTAGTTAATTACGTCGCAACACGCTCGATCCAGAATCTTGTTGATACGCGACATTTTCACAAAAATCGCTGTTTAGAGCCGCATATCTCGCAAATGAAAAGAAAAAGCCGAAAAAGGTTTTTGTGACATAAGCACTTTAATACTAGCGGGTTCGTTTAGTTTTACAATTTATAACAAACAGTAGTATTTAAGGTAATTTTATATTCACCAGATAACGACGGACGAGGTGAAAGTCAGTATGTTGGGATGATAGGTCTGGACAAGAAATATAGCAGATACGGCGATATAAATTGCTGTGCCAGAAATGTTTGTTACTGTTGCAATTGGAAGCAGAAATTCAGCCAGACGTCTGTCAACAACCTTTTTCTTCTCAAAACAAGACAGAGTGATAGGAATGGTGGCACAGCTAAAAAAAAAGTAACAGAAATATCAACCATAGGCGTACGAAACAGGGGGGAGGGGGGCAACTGCCTCCCTTCCCCCCCAATTTTTTTGAAAACCATGGAAATTCGGGCAAATGCTAGGAAAAATCAAGAACATTCGGGCAGATTTATCAGAAAGTGGTGTAAAAAGCAGAACTAATCCAACCAATATAGTTTTTTATTTCAATATATTTACACAACGTCCGTACGGACTCGGCAACCCCTTGCCTACTAAGTAAGAGTTAGATACCGAAAACGGAGGCTCTTAGTCAGATACAAACCCGAGGGGCCGTAGGCCCCGAGGGATTTATCTGACTAAGAGCCGACGTTTGAGGTATCTAACTAACTTAGTTCATATTTGTAAGGATTGACCCACAATGAAATTCACTTTATGATGTATTGTTCTTTAAATGAGTTTGAATTACCATGGTTGTAATAAAAACAAACAGGGCTTTCGCATTTGATATGCATCAATTCTCGTGTCGCATTACTGTATACTATCAATGAGAAGTGATTGAATATTCGTTCACCAACCACAATTACGATGAAATATGTTCGAAATAGCTCATACAACAGAGAAGCGCTAACGAAGATTTGTACGGGTTTGTCGAAGCAGAGATTCTCAAGTTGTTCTCAACAGGGCTGTATATATATATATAGGATAAAAACCGAATGGGAGGTCTTTCATTGGGAAGTCTTTCTTGAATTTCAATGAAAGACCGATCATGCATGAGGTTTTTATGTTTATATCCATTTTCCATTGTCCTCGGGAGGTTATGGTTGTGGGACGAAATAAGGTTGAACATGCGCATTAAACACGCTGTAATGTGGTTGAGCATGCGTAGTATATCATTTCGCGTCCCACAAGCGAAAGAGCAGATATTACTGTATAAATTGCTTGCACAAGCAAGTTTGGTGCTTGGTTCAGCTAGTCCTCGTGCACCGAATGACAAATACTCCTACCCAAAGGTAGAGTTTGACGGGCTCTGAGGTACACGGCTGTTGTCTCCTTCTCGACTCAGAGACGTGCAGCGTTTTCTAGTCGAAAAGGAAATGTGGGGTTTGAGTTTTGTTACAAATTCAAGGTCCTCTAGAATTGAATGCCTAATTAAAAATGCAAGGTATCTAACTCCATAGTGACTTCTAAAAGTGGTCACTATGGAGTTAGATACCTTGCATTTTTAATTAGGCATTCAATTCTATTCATCAACCCCGCTTTTCCCTGTGGAGATATCAAATCCCTCCCCTTGCTTTTAGATTCTTACCCAAATAAAACCCTATTGAGAACAATAGATATCCGCACAAATATGAACTAACTATGAATTAACTCGTCCATGTGGTCTGATCATGTGACCTGATTGACCAATTGCAATAAACGTGTAACATGATACAATTTAATTTAAAGTGTCATAATATAAAGTTTCTACATCCTCTCACACCAAAGAATTCGGTGTGCGAATGTTCAGTAATACTTGTCTCTTAATCGTCGTGCGTTTTGTCCGTCTACGGCAGCCTTTCTCGTCGCCCTTCTCAAACTATCGTGTTGTGTTTCATTTCCTTCAGTTGACTCCACCTCTATCTCATCGTGTTCTACGTTCTTGTCTTCCTTGACGTTACTCTCCGCGATCTCAAACGATATCAATTTCTGTAGCGGTCGATGGATCGTTGTCTGCTTCCCACTCTTGCTAAGTACTTTAGCGTTGCACCTCTGACTTGATCGTCCCGACCGATTACAAGTTGTATAACTTTCCCAATTTAATTCTCCACAGCGTTCGTGGAGCTGGCTCATCGTCTTTGACGAGAACTACGTCACCGATTATCAGATCACGAGTAGAACCCTCCCTCTTTCGATAAATGTTCATCTGTCGTAACTCATTCAAATACTCTCTTAGAAACCGAACCCAATAATCTTTTAATACCTTTTGCTGATGCCCAAGCCGATCTTTACACTGTCCGAGACTAAAATTTGGTACAATATCCGTATTCCTCCGACCGAGATTTCTTCTAACATAACTACGTCGCGGTATCAGATGGAATGGTGTCAAGGGCTCATCCAGGTCATCCTCGCTTAGATATATGCCAATGGCCGATTGTTAATAGCAATTTCCACGTCACACAAAATCGTTTGAAGTTGGCTTCGAACATTGTATAAGTCTTCCCTAGGGTTTTCTTTAGACACGATTTGACTGTTCTAACAAGACGCTCGTAAAAGCCTCCCCACCATGGCGACGCTGGAAGAATGAACCGTTGTTTTATGCCTTGTCCTAGCATGAAACGCTTTACTTCTCTCGACTTGAAAGTCTTGAAGTTAGCATTGATTATTACTTCAGGAACACCTCGAGGAGCTATAAACCGTTTGAATCCTCGTAAAAAACCCTCGATCGACATATCCTTCACAAGTTCTAAATGAATGGGTCGACTAGAAGCACAAGTTAGCAGAAGAATGTACCCTTTATCAGTTCCCGATTTGTTCTTCACGTACAATGGACCGCCGGAAGCCAAACCCGTCGCTTGGAACGCAAATCTCGAATGGTCTATTCTGAATTCTGGTAAATCTGGACTTTCAGGGCTGCGCAAAGGTTTACCCTGATATCGTTTGCACAAGGCACACTTCCGTAAAATGTCCTTGACGCTGTTTCTTCCTTTGATGATCCAGTATCTGGCTCGTACTCTCGCTAACGTTGACTCGACTCCATGATGCATCGTTGAGTCATGTGCATCCCAGATAACCAACCGAGTAAAATTACTGTCCTTACACCGAAGTAAAACAGGATGTTGCTCTTCATATTTCAATGAGGAATTCGCAAATCGTCCTTTTAACCGTAGCGATCCGTCCTTGTCTTCGAAAAGATTCCACGAGGCGCGGAGATTACGGAAATTGGACTGTCTCTTAATGATTAGCTGTTCATCTTTAATCCACATTGACAACGCTGTCTCGTATTCATCGACCTTTAGGACATCGTCCGTGATTACGTCAGACTGTTTCTTCACTCGCTTACGTAAGTTTTTGATGAATCTCATCACATAACCAGTAGTCACGATAGGTTTTTTGGCGAGCTGTACCTGGTGCAGTCAATGACAGTATTTAATGAACATGCGTTGTCTGGAGTGTCGTTCTGTGTCGTATTATCCAAGCAAGAACCTTCGGAAATATTACCCATCTTAACACTCAACTCATCAACTGAATTTCCATTAGTACCATCTGTACTAATGTCCTTCCCACCGGACTCAAAATGTTGTGACAGGAGAAAAGAAGGACCAGAAAACCAACATCCCGCAAACATTCATGCAGGTTGGAAGATATTCGTGTGGGAGGATCTGCCCAGTTATTGAATGGTGAAGCAATTCAGCTTTTGGTGAATTCTGTTTCGCAGATCTTTCTATAATTGCTGAAATTCAAGCAAAAGCAAAACCCTCTACTGACGATTTAAGCAAAAAAATATACGGAAAAATCACTAGAGGAAAAAATTGAGCAATTTGACGTGTGTGGGAGTTGTTTGAATATTAGATAGTATATGTTCATTATTTTTTTGAGTTTTTAAAGGTTAGATATAGGTAATGAGACTATATTGGTGTCCTAGTAATAATTTTATGCAACAATAGTCCCTAAATGTTAGATCAAAAAGTGTGCACAATGTATGCCTGTGAAAATTATGTTGTATTGATGAAACTGAGGATAAAAGATAAAAATAGGTACGCAGTGCGTACATGTTGCATGCCTTCTGAAACTTATGATGCGCTATAGCGCTTATAATTAACCTTTGGTACAACTGGCATGAAACTTAAAACATTGATTCAATACGTTTAATATCAATATATTTATTGAAAAATAGCTATTATGTCGGAATAAGAAAACTTAAGATTCTCATATGAATAGGCAATGTTTTTATGAGCAACCGTTCATCGTTAGTTGCAAGCGACGGTAATAACAAGGTCAAGGTGGGTCAAGGTTTTATCGAAAGCGATTGACCTTTACAAATTTATAACTAAATAACGTTATTTCCTATTGATTTAGCTTTATTGTAACTTTTTAAAGGCATAAAAACCCGTGGAAACGGTGAATTACTATAATCGATTGAAAATTATTATTAAACTATGATTGAAATTGTGTTAGCTAATATGACCGGTATGGTCGTTTGAGTGATTGAAATGAGTTAATTTATACAATATCGAATGTCATGTTGAATCGTATGCGTACTTCACAATGGTTGCTATTTCGTTGTATTAAATTTCAATAGTAATACTATTTATCATCAAATTTTGTTTGATATTTATATTTCATGTTATTTACAAAATGTGCTGTGGTTGTGAAGCTTTGCACAGAATATAATCAGTGCGAGCACAATGGCTCCGTTTGAGTATATAAAAATCGTAAGAGTATTTTTATAGCGTGGGCTTCTTTCAGGCTTTCACGATATATAAATATAAATACTATAAATAAACGCCTGATAATTGTCAATTGATAAATAATCAGTGCGAGCACAACGGCTCCAAAATCACAACAAATAACAGAATATAAGGTAACTTAAAAACAGCAAAGCTTTACCTACCTCGATCTATTTTTCTAAGGCGCTCATTTATGTAAATTTTTGGCGAATAATCAATATTTCTTTGCGTTTCCTCGACGAAAACCCGGCATGAAAGTACTCGATTGCTCGTCGGAAAAATTCGGTAATCGTCGTCTTTTACGAATCTGCCACATGACTGGTACGCTCACCACCGCCACGACATGAAATTTAGAGCTATGTGAAAGTTGCATGCCATATATGGCATGCAACAAAAACACGACTTGCGTTTGTATAATTGTGAACCTAAGAAATATAAGTGCAGGTGTAGATTTATGGAACATAAAATTGGAGGTACATGTGTAAAATTGTAACGGTAGAATATATCCTGTGGTATAAAAAAATTGATCAGACCCAAAAGGTATGATCGCGCTGTACTAAAAAGCTTTTATGGAGGCTTGTAAAATATATAAAGCGAGAGAAGGAGAATAGTCATGCGTGTAAAATTCAGTATCGAGTAGTATTCAGTACGCCGGCGTTTCGTCCTTCTTGGACTCGTCAGCACTAGGGATTTGGGGTTGGCATATCTTGAATATGTGTGCGAAGGACGGGATACAGAAATACAATTGGCGGTCTCAGCACTTTGCGAAACCCACAAGTGATGAACGCTTGACATAAGTAAATTTCATGCATAAAGAAACTGTTTTTAAAAGAAGCTGCTCTAAGTTCCCCAAAATCGTGCGCAGTTTAAGCCAGGCGCACACGATGCGATTTTAGTCGGCCGATAAAAATCGTTTGACATACCGATATACATCGGTATACTCCGCACACGATTACGAAAAAAATATGCTCCCTGAACTGTAGCCGCCATGTTGCCAAATAAATTCAAGCACGTGATCACAGCATGAAATCTGATTGGTTATACTTAACATTCCACCGATAAAAATCGTATAATATCAAAATGTTTTGATGTTCTCCGATTAAAATCGAGCAACAAAAATCGGTTAAAAATGACACCGCACACACAACGATTTTGTTAGTTTTAGTCAAACGATTTTTATCGGCCGACTAAAATCGCATCGTGTGCGCCAGGCTTTACAAAGATATTTTAACTTCTTAATAAGTCAATATTTAATATATGCACCTTGTCAATATTTTACGCATCTTTGCGTTCAGCTTAGATATAGATATGTTCCGGCATTGTTTATGTTCAACGGCGGTCTATTATAATTTGGCGGTTATAGGCGCCATTTTGGTGCTTCTAGAATGTTTTATGAAATTAGAAATATATTAAAATTTTATTTTCGTGACGAATAATTAATGCTGGAGTATTCAGTAATTAAATGGTAATTTCAAAATGTTGTACTGTAACTCACCTCGATGCAGTACCAATACCAGTAAGCAGTGATTTGGCAACACAACACAGAAGTCGAAAAGGATTTTTTCTCAATAAGATTGCATATATAGCCGGTAGAATTGCAAGTCCATAAATGATTGATGCAGTGATCATAGTCGCAATATACAGTCCAAGATTTTCTGCTATGTCTTTAATATCTTGCATTGCCACTAATTCGCTAGCAATTATACTGCCGACACCAATTGGCGAAAACCTAAAAGCAGTTTAAAACAATTAAACTGGTGCTGACGTAAGTCATTATTTTCCATACTGCCGTAAGTTTACTGTAGGTTCATGTATTTATTCTCTATAAATTATAATATACTATATTTATTCTTTATAAATTATATATATAATTATTTCAGCTTGGGAATCATTATACGTGCATGGCTTGGAATTGTTAATTAAATTAAATAAAGATATAGCTCGATATACGTACCATATAACTATATCAACTATTTTCATGACAGCTTTGAACAAACAACTAAACAAGTCCACTATTGGCTTTCCATTATCGCCAAGGCCACTCAGAATGATTCCAAATAGTACTGAAAGAACAACTACACCCAAAAGGTTCGCAGAATTATATTTCTTCTGACCAGCATATTCAAATATTACATTTTCTTCTTTAATAACTTGTACAGACTCTGATGATACACTCCATGGATTTATCACTTCTTTCTTTAAAAACGATGATAAGTTTCTAGCAGATGATTTAAGAACATCAGCAGATTTATTCACTAATTTGAAATCTGTGACTTTTCTCTCTAATTTTGTACCAGTCTAAATAAACGATAGAATAAATTAGTTTCTATTTTGAATCCGTTAATTTTCCTTCGCACAAATCATATATAGCTAAAAAATGAGAGCATTTTGAGAAAACGTGGCCATTCGATAATTTCAATCATCAACTGCAGGAAGCTGTTGCAGCTCAAAATAGGAGAAATATAACGGAGGTCGAGGTTTGAGATGAAATTTAATAGGGAAACTCATCATCATTTAAACCTCAATATACTAATAACTTGCGATACTTTTAGCCATGCATTTAATATAAAATTCTTTATATTATTATTTTCCTTTGACACATAATTATCACCATATATTTCGTATATAACCTTATAAGAAAGATTTCTTTGGTATCTTCTTTATCGTATATATGTTAGTTGTAATCAACGGCAGACTGCTGCACGTGTAAATTCTGTGGTTCACAATTACCTAATTTTTTCAGATGTTATGATCAGATCGATGTTATGAATCCGGGATTGCGTTATATGCTGATGATAGTAAATGCTTCAGAGTCATAAAATCGTTAAACGACTCGCACTTTTTGCAATCTGACTTAGACAATCTGTCATCTTGGTCTAAGACATGGAACATGGACTTTAACGAGACAAGGTGTACCATACTGTCATTTACCAGAAAGCATTACCCAATTATTCAATCATATACACTTAATGGATCTGAGCTACGAAGAGTCAACGAACAGAAGGATCTCGGAATTCTGCCAACCAGTTCTATGCCCTGGCGAAGTCACGTGGTTACTCTATGCTCTAAGGCAAACCGTACACTTGGGTATACATCCGCCGTTGTTCTGCGGAAAATGGTAGTTTAAACGTGCGTCGCACTCTCTACATCAGTCTGGTAAGATCGCTGTTTTCGTACGGATCCCAATTGTAGGCTCCTCAGGAAATCAAATATATAAACAAGATGGAAAGGATACAGAGACGTGCAACCAAAATTTTTACTGAAACTACCATTTCGCACAAACGTTTCATTATTTTCATACCAAAAACGTCTGTTAAAGCTCGGTCTTCTATCTGCATGTAACTTACTGGCTTGAAATTCTGGACTTGGTTCTATACTTCCGTACATTAAAAGGAGAAACTTTTCCAGATAACAAAGGCTTGGTCCATGCAGATTAAACAACAAACTCGTTCTACCCGTCATAATAACACTCAGTCATAATAACAGTCAGGTGTTCTCACAGAGACACCTCGTGCTAAAACAGTATAATTTCAGAACAGTTTCTTTGTCCGCACAAGTAGAATATGCATGGAACAGTCTAACACCAGGAGAAAAAGACCTGTCTCAAAGTGCTGCTACTTCTAAATGTTGTTTCACTAGAAAATGTAACGGACTACTTAGAGATGTGTACGACCCGGACAATGCTGTAACTTTTAAGTGGAACTGTGTGAAATGTCATGTAAATAGAAATCTAGCACACATTCTTCAAAAACCATGTTGTTTTTAACTTAAATGTAACCAGTGTGTCAGTAACTTAAACGTGTGTTAGGGCTCATTGTAACTGGCTCCCGTGGATTTATCCTACGGAGCTGTGATGATAACCCAGCCATGTCTCAGTGTATATATATTGTCAGTAATGTAAAATTCGTTTTGTTTGTAATGGCAAAGTATTTTAAATAAAAAAATAGAACCATGATCATATGCATGCGCATGTGTGACGAAATTGTGACAATAGAAACTATAAAAACCTCACCAGTGTTTGATGCTATCGTTTTTCAGGTGAAATTTCCATACTTAGGCGCTATTTATATGGTCTCGAGTACCAGGAACACCCTATCCCCCGAGACAACTCTACCGTGCGTTTATATGATAAAATTTGATAAAATTCAAAAAGGCATATCAACGCGGGAATACTCCGTTTTTTGTTCGAAGGACTGGATAATGGATATGAGTAACTAAATTAAAGATGGCGGACGAAGAAGACGAATCAGTTGATGAATGTATGAGTGCTTTTGTGTCGATTGTGTCAAATATTATGATTGTAGTTTCCATGTTAAGTGAGATAGTTACCTGTTTAATCGTGCAGCAACAAATACAACAAAATATAATGATTGGTCAAGCTGCTATGAAAGGAAATCGTTTTATATTAAAGGCAAAACGAAAGTTGACTTTACGAAGAAGGGTTCGGTCATGCTGGAAGAAACCTGGACGAACTGAACGGTGGTGTACCAATCTATGGCAAGGTCGTCTTCATGAAGAAGAGTGGAATGTAAATCTTCGTATGTGCATGGATGACTTTAAGAAACTAGTTGCATCGCCAAACTGGAGTGCACTTTCATGTGAAAAAAAGTGGCTACCACCCTATATTATTTAAAGGATACTGGTTCACTTCGCATGCTCCCAACTGTGCACAGACAATTACTACTAGGCAGTGGCGTAGGAAGCATCTAAAAGTTGGGGGAGGGGCAGGCTTCGAGGGGCACTTTCCGAATGAAAAGGGCACCTAAACTTTTTTTTCCCGGAAATGTTGGCGACGGGGGGGGGAATGCAATCTAAACGACATTTTTCACGGAGGTAAAGGGCACTTTGCTCCCAGAAAAAGGGCACTTCCCCCCCCCCCGTTCCTACGCCCCTGGGCAATAGGGCATACCACTTTTAGGCCTGAAAAATGGGCACTTTCCTTTTAAAAAGGGCACTTTTTCTTATCACTTTGAAAGTTGGGGGGGGGATGCACGTGCCCCAGTGCCACCCCCCCCCCTTCCTACGCCACTGCTACCAGGCCATGATAAAATATCTTCATTACTACTTGCTGATCCTGTTTACACATTACTTCCTTACTGTATGAACGAGTTTACCAATTTTAACGCCAATGAAGAGATTATTTTCAATAATCTGTTAAGGTCATCAAGAAACCAGATTGAGTGTGCTTTTGGCTGTTTAAAAGCAAGATGGCAAATTCTAAATACCAAAATGAATCTAAAGCTGGAAAATGTTCCTTGTGTAATAGATGCATGCTTTGTTCTCCATAATTTTTGCTCCCTGAATGGTATCCTGGTGGATGATGACAGTGTGCAACGACAAATAACGCATGATCGTCAAATGGAACCAGTTATGACCCCAGACCCTATTTATTCGTGCAACTCTGCAGAAGGAATTTCTACTCGAAATACCATTGTTGCTTTCTTAAAGGAGCACATTGAACATCAGTTACAGTATTTGTTGTGTGCCTGCTTCACCAAATATACAGTATTTTGTTTATTGTCAGAAATTATATCATGTAGCAAATTCACAGCACTTAATAACATTTAATATGAAAGGCAAATCCATTAATTGTTAAGACTCTCCCTCGACTCTTAAAATTGTCGATCTGGTGTTAGACAGTGCAAAATAAAGAAGAGGGCACATTGCGCATTACAAATCATTAGTGGATTCAGGCTTGCATTGTCCTTGACATTGCATTTCATTGCATTGCATTGACATTACATTGCATTGCATTGTCATTGGCATTGCATGGACATTGCGCATTGTCATACAAATCATTAGTTGATTTAGGCTTGTCTAGCTAATGGAGGATGCGCATAGCAAGCAAATTATATTTTAAAAGCTCCCAAGAGAGCTTCATTATTATGATGTGCATTGTGGAAACACAATGGGACATATGTTCTTTTGTTTATTCAGAATTTGCCTGCCAGCAGAATGTAACCAGAGCAAGGGGTCTATTGATGCGGAATTTTTCACGATACTGTTTAGGGCCTGTTCATATGATCCCGCTTACCGATGATCTCGCCGCCTATCTATTTTCCTATAAAATTTTGCATTGTGTTCATATGAGAAAGCGAGCTGGCCCGCTTGCCGAGATCTCGTTTGAATTTGCCGAGATCATAGGTAGGCGGGATGAAAATTTTTCCATATGAACACGCCAGCCCGCTTACCGGGATGAAGTGAAACAAGTCTTGCCGGTTTAATTTAACATTTTTACTTGGTTTTATGTTTGTTTTGTAAACAAGTATTAAATAAGCACCTGAAGCAATACTTTTTCTTGTAAATAAACGAAGAAAAACACTAAAATCGCCAAGTATTTGTGTTGCTTGACTGAAATGTAGAAGTTT